ACCATATCCTGCTTGGCTTGCATCACAAAACCCATGCAATTCACACTCAACTTCAAATACAGGCATAGGTCTAGGAATTTTCAGTAGAGACAGCGCACTCAACTCATGCTGAAATCTTTTCCACTTTCCGGTAACTTCTGGAGGGGATTCTTGATTCCAATCGAGACCCAAACTCCATAGCTCCTGAATTAAGCATTTAGCGAATAGGGTTAGAGGTGCAATCATACCCAAAGGGTCAAAAATCCTAGCCAAATTTGATAAAATGGATCTCTTACTACACTCATTATTCGAAAAGTCACCAATTTTAAAAGTAAAATTATCAAATGCAGGTTGCCATTGCAACCCAAGGACTTTAAGGCAAGCAGGTTCTACAGTATCAAAAGAAATCGGCTGTTGATGTTCAAGAGGTGTGTCGGACAAAACTTCCGCACAATTGCTCGTCCATTTTCTCAACTCGAAAACACCTTTCTAAGTTTGAAAACCCTGTCAGAACATCGTCCACATAAATATCTGACAACAAAATATCAGATGCGATTGGATACGACGCCCTCTCGTCCATAGCCAATTGCCTAATAGTTCTATTAGCCAAGTAGGGCGAACTACTGACTCCAAAGACCAAAGTGTCTAATATGTACTCCTGTACAGGATCTCCACGATCAAACCTCCACAAAATGTGTTGGAACTTTCTATCCTCTTCAAGAACAAGTATCTGTGAAAACATTTTCTTGATGTCTGCTATCAAAACATACTTATGCAAACGAAAATTTAACAAGACAGCAGAAATATCTGAGTGAAGCTTTGGACCAGCGTGAAGCGTAGAGCAAGACCCCGTTGGAAGATTTCATGGACGAATCGAACACTACCCGCAGCTTAGTTGATATAGACTCCTCTCGTATGACGCAATGATGAGGTATGTAATATTGACCAGGCTCATCATCTGGACTAACAGGCGACATATAACCAGCATCTAGATATTCTCGCATAAAATCTCTATACGAATCCAATAAACCAGGGTTTTTATACAATCTACTCTCCAACGAATAAAGTCTGCGCAAAGCCAAATTTTTTGACTTATACAAATTTTCACAGATTTCAGTTTCGGGAGAAAGTGCTAATTTATTAGGAACGCTATCGACTTCCCACAGTCTCTTGATATTTTCGTCCAAAGACTCCAAAGTGGTGGAACAATAAGTCGCCAAAAAAGCGTCTTTTTTACGGATTTTATTAAAAATTTTGGATTTTCCCAGAGCGACCCAACCAAAAATAGTTTCCCTAAATACGGGCCCATCCAAGTCTGGCGAACTAATCCTTTCATAATGGAACCAAATTCAGCCACGCCTATGAGCATGTCTATGCTACGACTTTTCCAAAATTCAGTATCAAATTCAAGGCCATCGAAATATGACTTATCAGGAATCTTAAGGCCGCGTTAATGGCCGCCATGTTTAAATTTAGTTTTTGAAAATGACCACTGCGTCACTCTACACATAGGGTTCAATATTTTATTATTTGTTCAAAACAAAATCTGTTTGTCGGTGAAACACTTAGTGACAGAGAAAGACAAATATACAATTATGATGCTCCCAATGTAGCTTTTTTGCTATGGCGCCATCTACTTGAAATTGCTTGAACTGTTTTCACCTTCAAAATTCGTTTTAAGGTCATTTCAAAACATCCGCAATAATTTCCAAAATCCTTTGGCATAAACATTATTTGATATATTATCTACAATCTCTACACTTAGCTTTTTTTAGTTTATCGTGGTTATCAATAAAATATGCTTTTCACGAATCCGAGCTTGATAAACATGCAAATATGCAACCACCAACACATTTAATTGTTTTGGTGGTTGCGAACATGATTTTTGAATTTAAAGAAAATGGCTGCTGAATATCGAAAAACCAAAATAACGAATTGTAGATAATCGATCAAATAATGTTTATGCCAAATTTGAGCCAATTCTGATGTGCGGTTTTTTTAAAGACCTTAAAACAAGTTTCGAAAAATCAACCAATCACAGTTTAAATATGGCGGCCATTAACGCGGCTTTAACTGGATGAAGTGGCAGTTGACAGCAAATTTCGGGAAAGACTAAAACCTTCAACGACAACTTTGGTTCTGAGCAAAATTGAGGCGTCACAATACATTCTGTAACTCCTCTTGCAGTTACATATCCGCTGTTACCAATTAATGCAATCTGCATTTCACATATATTTCTCTCGAGGCAACCCAAGACGCCTCAAACAACCTTCCGAAGTGAAGTTGGCGGCTGAGGCAGAATCAAGTAGGACCCGAATCGGCAAAAAAATACCACTCGAATTTTTAATTTTAATAATGGCCGTAGGAAAAATCGGGACTGCGTCGGTGGACGAAACCAAAGACGTGACCACGGGAAGAGCTCCACTATAGCTGTCAGATTCACTTTCATTTAGCTCGCAGGCTGGAAGTGATGGAGGTTGCCCAGAAGACGCAGTTGAACTGCCATTTCCACTGCTTTCCGAAAAATGCAAGAGCTTATTATGACGATAACCACACCCACATCCCTGTGTAACTGTGCAGTCTTTGACACCGTGGGTTCCAAAACAAATTAAGCACAAATGCCTACTTTTAACAAAACTAAACCTTGAATGTGGACTTTTTGCGAGAAACTTACTACAAGAGTTGAGAATGACCCTCTCTACAAAGCGAACAAACAATTCCACCAGCAACAAAAACACTAGGTGGTTTTCTAAATGGAAGACGCTTTTCCTTACTTGGGGTGGAAAAATTCGAATTATTTTTGACAGCAGCTTGAATAGCATTTGAAGTCTGCATAGCGCGAAGTTGAGTATCCAAAAATGAATAAAGGTCCTTGTAAGACGGTTGCCCCGTCGGAATATTAACATTAGGTTTTCTAGCAAACTCAAGTTCAAATCTATTGCGCGTATTGCTTGGTAATTTGTACAAAAGTAAATGAAAGTTTAGGAAATCCCATTGGTCAACTGGGTATTGTAAGTTTCTAAGTGCTTCTAAATTTTCAGAAAAGGTATTCAAAAGTTTGCTCACTTCAGCAAGATTCTCGTCTCCCTTTAAAGCAGGAAAAAAATAAATTTCATTCCAAAAATTGGTAGCGATCAACCTATGATTTTCATATTTTTTTACCAAAGCATTATACGCAATAGAGTAGTTATCATCTGTAAGGGGCATAGTACGAACTAAAGCCAAAGGTTCCCCGTCCAAATACTTGAGCAGATATCTAAATTTATCAATGTCAGACAGTCGGTATCACGATGAATGCAACTATTGAACATGTCAAAAAATGTTCTCCATTCTTTGTAATCGCCCGAAAAAACCCATACTCCCAATGGCTCCAACCTAACAGACTTTTTAGAGGTACCCTGAGTAGCTGGGGTGGCCGGGGGACCATTATCAACAAGCTCAAAATAAATCGCTTTGAACCCATAAAACATTTTCGAAGTAGTGGCCCTAACTTCATCCTGTTTGGAAAACTCTTCATCTCCCAAAACGGACGTCAAAATTATTATATTATTATGTAGTTCCTGAAATTTCGAAAATTCATTCAAAGTACCTACTCTTCAACTCGTGAATTCGGTGAACAGGTGTTTCTTTGAAAGTTATATCTAATTACCTTTTCAGTAGTAGCGGCAGAAAGTGCCATTTTTCTGTACAAAATGATCCAAAAGACACCCCTAATTATTCTTATTTTGTTTATTTAATTATAATTAATTTTTTAATGGTGAGTAAATTCAACCAGCATTCAATAATACGGTCCTGTTCTTTTTGTTTAACACAAGTTCAAAACCATTAAGTTTATTATACCAAAGGCAAAGTTTACAGCCAAAGGCCTGCATACAACACTAGGTACCCAAATAAGTATATTTAAACTGTAAAGGTGCAAAAAATGACAAGAATTTCTGGTTTCAAATAAATTTTTCGAATTCCTATGTTTTTTTTTACACATGAAAATAATTTCAATTTTATTTTCCTCAAATAAATATATTTTGCTATAAAACAATTTATATATATAACCAAAGAACAAGGTAAATTCTAAAAAAAAAACTATTTAATTAAACAAATGACTATTTGCCCAACCTTTTACCTGGATCTCTTCTCGGCTTTCCAAATTCCAATCCCACAAACAGGTTCTTGTCGAGAACGAGAGAGTCCAGAAAATAGCGGCGCGGCAAGAAAATTAAGTACAATTTGTTCGAATAAAAAAATCAACTTTTTAGGCCCAATATCCAGCCACGAGAGACCATTTAATGTAACGACACGCACGTAAATTTTAGACAAAGTCTAAACCGTAAGCGAGCTATCACGTTTTATTTATTGCAGAAATAACAGTTTGTAAATCCGTCAAAAAATTGGGTTTAAAATTAGGCCAAGAATTCACCTTATTCGTAGAATTGCTAATATGCGTCTGTCTTCCGTTCCTCCCAATACATCGCGCGTATTTTTGGCGCTCAGGTGCTCGAGAGTGGGAATGCGGTACCCATACTATACAGAGAGGTACCGCAAAAGGGTGCCTGGATGAACCAGGCCTAGTGTAGGCTGGGCAAATTTTATATACAACCCAAAAAATATATACATTAAATTTATACAATGAACCTTGTTTTCAGTTTCCCCAGAATTACCAAATTAACTAATAAATGAAATTCAATTGAGATCGAACAATATTATTACCTAGCTATATCTTTTATTGCACTGATTCGCGAGCGGACAAACAGTACAATTGATATATGCAATTAATCCAATAATAATTCCATTACCAACACAATGATGTCATATTTTACACTGATACCAAGTACTTAGCATTGAACACAACCGAAACAATAAGAGGCACATAAATCCATCATACAACATTCGATTACGTAAATTAGTCTCTATGTCCCTATAGGTTATTAGTAAATCAATCATGGTCATTAGTCAGATATGGATCGGAAACTATTAATAATGCATTAAGACATTGTTATTCTGAAAAATCATTATTATCGACTTACCATTCAATCCGTAAGGTTGCAACACCCTCCTCTCAGTCAAAACAGATAATGTTAGAGGAGCTCTAAACATTAGTTCTCTTATAACTCCATCTCCGCCTTTAAAAGTGCCATTACCACCACTGTTTGATCTGAGAGTAAAAGTTTTCAGGTAAACTGGGTAACGTCTTTCGATGATTTCGATATCGGTGATACGTGTGTTCGTCATGTGAGTATGTACTCCAGAGCATCCATGCCAGGTGGGACCCTGAATTGAAACATATTTGTTAAATACTTTATGTGCATACAATAAATCATTGAAGCCTGAAGAGTTCGTTCTATCTATCAGAGTTTAATTAGAGCACTGGCTACACATGATAATCGGTTCAAAAATGAAATACGACCTAATTAAGAAAATTCCATGTGCACCGAAAATTGAATTTAGTAGTCCAAAACTAAATTAGCCCGCAGTATCATCGTCGCACGTAAATAATGTGTCAGAGCTGGTCCGGACAAAACAAAACAAGTTTGCATGGCCGGTGAATTAAAATCAGGACTGAAATTAAATTGTCGTATTTAATCACCTTTAGGCGTTAATTTGTTGCGATAACATAACTTTTGAATTTGTTTTGTTGCTGTTAACAGAAAATTGAATTTGCTATCATTATTGGACTGCTATAATATTATAATGGATGGAAGGTAGGTAATTCTAACTATCCGTAAATTTTAGTTCAAGTAATAAACAAAAAAGGAACTGAAAATATTTCTAAAAATAATATAGTGGGTCAGCAGTATTTGCAAACCTCCGCGACTCTTATCTAGGAGGAGAAACTGTATTTGTTTCTATCAAGCAAATCTGGATAATATTTACCCACGAGAAAATATTATTGTTTAAAGATTAGGACGATTTCTTGCCTGACACTGGACAAGAAAAAAATTGAAAAAATGAAAAACGTTTGTTTCGTACATTCGAGATTCGGGACACAATACAGTTGGAGATTTCAATTACACAGAGATCAACAGGAAAACATTACCACTCAATCCCAAAAAACTATGTAGGTCAGATTTCATAACTGCCTACAAACAAATCAATACCTTTGAACTTGAAAATTTTCCAACCAGAATAAGAAGAAATGAACAGTCTCTACTTAATCTGTATTAGTCGGTGATAAGAGGCTTGATTTTGATGTATCACAGCATCCACCAATTGGACTTAGTGACCATATCGTAGTCATAACAGCCAAATCCCAAATCCAGGTTACTCCAAAACCAACAAATAAAATATATGAGAGAAGATTTTGGTCCGCCGACTATGAACCTATTAGCTCAAATCTACAGCAATTTGTGGCATAAGAAATTGAAAAGCAACTCTGAAAATAACAACTTGGACTACAGGAACCAAAATGACAGATCTCTTGGTTCAATATCCACACATTTCTCACTGAGGAATGTAACCACTAACAATACCCTTGATGATGAGAAATAAGTTGCCAATTTGTTTGCCAAACAGTTTCAGAGTGTTTTTGCAAGAGAAGATCTAAGTTATATGCCACACTTGCCCTTGGATCCTGATACATTCTGTGTTAATTCACTTGACATGACTTTTACAACATTTACACCCGAGAAATTGCAGACTGCACTCAAACACTGAAGCCAGATTCTAGTCCAGGAGAAGATGAAATCCCTGCCATTTTCCTGAAGAAGTGTGTGAGGAACAATCTTCTTAAGCAGGGAAAACGACCAAGGGAATGGAGACATGCAATTGTAGTGCCTATTTCCAAGAAAGCCAACAAGCACCTGCCTGAAAACTATAGGCCCATTAGCTGGATAAGCACCCTTTGCAAATTCATGGAGAAAGTCCTGATAATATCTGAGATTAATGGATTTTTGCTCTTAAATGGAATCATCCCACCTTCCCAGCATGGGTTCATTTCTGGAAGGTCCACTTTCACGAACCTGCTTACCAAGGTTCATGACTGGACAAGGGCAGATCACTGTGGTCAGTCGATGTATTTTACTCGGATTTCGAAAAGACTTTTGAAAAGGTACCATTTGGGCGGCTTCTTCATAAACTCCATCACTATGGTATAATCCTCTTTTTGAGTAGAAGAGGATTATACATGTGGCAAGATTTTCTGGAGGATCGACAGTTCTGTGTCAGTATACGGTCCATGAAGTAAAGTTCCTGTGAAGTTTTCAGTGGTCTTTTCCAAGTACTTGGCCCTCTACTCTTCCTTGAATATATTAGTGAACTGCGAAATGGATTGAGGAGTCAGATGTCGTCATTTGCGGATGATACCTGTTGTTATAGTATTCCTGTAACTCAGAATGGAAGCCTCTATGGGGATATAGATGCCATCAAATAGTGGACCTTTACTGGCAAATGCCATTGGATGACTCCAATTGTTCAATTCTTCACCAGGGCAAAAACAACCACAGGATGCAATGGATTTACCCAGGTAATCTGTATTGCTGGACAAAATGATTTGGGAATTGTCATTGAAGACACGAAGTGGGAAAGCCATATCAATGGCATCATAAAGAAGTCAAATTCCATCATGTACCTGATTTCCAAGGCATTTATAGAACCCACACCCTATATGTTTATGAAGCTGCACAAGGCTTTCATAAGACAGGCCGGAATATGCCAAAAGCATATGGAGTCTTTTTTTATGTCAGAGACATTGAAGCACTTGAAAAAGTTCAACGCGGAGCAACAAAACATCCCCCAGCTCTTTGTGTCCTCCCATAACAACAAAGGCTGCAGAGGCTGAACTTCTCTACACTTTATGAGAGACGAACGCGAAGGGATCTAGTGGAAACATTCAAAATAATTAGTGGACACTACAAGTGCCAGTTAAATGTGTTTGAGTTCAGTGACAGTTAGCATTTAAGGGGTCATAATAAGTGAGGAGATATGTGCCAGGCTTTTGCGTAGAATTTTTTTTTTCCAATTGAGTAGTTTAGAATTGGGATCAACTGAGTTGGGTCAGTGCATCTTCAGTCAACCTGTTTGAAAACAGACAGCCTTCATTTGTTCACTCCTGAACGTAGATCTCTTTCATCCGTTTCCATGCATTTCTGTCTTGTGCTGTCTGGGACCATCGTTTACACGCAATCTATTTTATATCTTCCAGCAACCTTTTCTGGAGTGTGCCTGCACTCCGCTTGGTCTGTCTTGGTCGCCAATGTGTAACTCGCGCTGTCATGGTTTTGTCTGGTTATTTCAATTTTTATTAATAATTATCTATATTACCTATATTATATAAAATTTACCCCACGGCGCCCAACAATTTGTTACCCGCAAAACACGATTGAAAAGTAAATAATAAAATTTGAGGAAGTGAGACAGTGAATGGGTAACTAAAACAAAAAAAAATGGAAAGAGAGGGTTGGTCGGTGACTAAAATCTAGAAACGGGACTTCGTGTGAATGGTTGCCGACTAGCTTCCAATGCGGAGAGGGGAGTGGATCAATTAAATAATTAAATATAGAGCGCCACCTGCTTTTCCCTGCAGTACACGAAGTCAACCTATATAACGAAAGCAGGAAACTTCTACGGACCTATAGCAGCACAATCTGAAATATAAAAGTAAACAAGAAAAGAAGCAAGGACAGAAGTGAAACGCTTTGCTACAATCAGGTACGGCTGTTTAATTAGAACCAGAACAGGTTTGACTCTAGAGCAAGTTCGGAGTGGGTTTTCCGAACGCCTTGCAACATTGAATAATGTCTGTTTTTTTTTTAAAGATAAAAGTCAAAATGACATTATGTTGGCAAAATTGTCAATGCTTTCAAATTTTTATGTAGAAAAGGCTTGTGTTGCCAACATTGTTACTAAATTTTTGACTTGGGGAATTATCTTTAAAAAAAACAGACTTTATTACTAACACTGGAACCAGAATAAATCGACTTAGGAGTATTTAACCTCACATTCTAAAAATAGTATTTACAATAATTACACTCAACTTAAGTCCCTAAATAAAGTAAAGAGTATTGTATAACACTTATAACAGCAATAATACCTGAAATGTAAATTAATAGACAAGCTTACTAAATGCAGTACCTTCGTAAATGACCATTTAACCCCAGTGTACAAGTATTTTCCTGTATACAATGCAGCATGTATTTTTATTCCAACAAGGGTTTGGTAAGGTTTGATAGGTTCCAGATATTGAAACAATACAATACACTTATCAAACCTGAGTAGTCCCTGATCCCTTGAGGAGAACCTGAAAGATTGGATTGATATCTTCCAGTGTTTCCGATGGCCTGGAAATACTTTGGCTTTGAGGAACAAACAATTGATCACGTTGCTCTTTTTCGGCTCACAAAGAAATCCGCGCAAGGCGCTTTGGTGCTAAAATAACGGATTAGCCACCCTAGATCTATGAGCGAAAACTGGACAACTCAGAAATCGGCAAAATTTGCCTGAGGAATTTTCCCGAACACTTAATCGTGGAAAGTCCTATACCTCTGTTTGTCCCTCCAAAGTCCTTTAAAAAGGTTGTGTCAAAACTCCAAGGTGAAAGGTTTTGGGGAATATTGATGGTAGTTGGGTATGGGACTATTTTAAATTAGGTTGGTACCGGTCATTGACCTTATTTGGAGCGCTGTCAATCTAGTTAATCCAATCGGATCAGACAATCAGCTGTTCTAATGTAAATATTGTGATTTGATTTATTAATAAATTAATGATTCATGATTGTTGAGGTTATGTCGAAAGTAAACATAACAAATAGTAACCCTCCAGAATTATCAAAAAAAACTTGTGCCCATTGTAAAAAAAAAGTTGCTTCTCCTTGGGACTGCATAAAGTGTGGATCAAGCTACCATCCTAGCTGTGCTGCCCAAGCAAAAGTGCTAAATCCAGAAAAGAAGGTGTTTTGCTGTGTGAAATCGAAAAAAAGTGTGGTTAGTGAAGAAGAAAATTCATCCAAAGGCGACAACATGGATGAAAAAAAGATAAAAACCGTTTTAAAAGACTTACTTAATGAGTATCTTACACCTTTTAAAAAATCTGTGCAAAGTGACTTGGAAGAAATTAAAAAGTCCTTTCAATTTGTATCGGATGGATTTGACGAGCAGAAGGATACCATAAATAAACTATTGGATGAAGTTAAGAGCCTTAGGAACCAAAATCAAAAACTAGAAAAAAGGGTGCAGGAAATGGAAGATAGATTAAATTTTTCCGAACAACAGGAAAAGGAAAATAATTTAATCATATCTGGAATACCTAAACAGACGGATGAACCCGGAAAAATTGTA